GTCCTGGATGGATAGAAAAGCGCTATATAAGTACAGTCCATTTACAATTTACAATAAAAAAATTAAAAATAAAATACAGGAAAAGTGTGATAAAAAGAAACAATTTTATTAGCAGGAACAAAATCAAATACTGACTAAAAAGGTTCCAATGCTGGAAACAAAAAGCCATATTTAAAGACCTATGCTCTGCATGTTTGTTTCGTTGAGCTTGTTTAAATTTATTTGCAACTATTAAAAGTCCACATTGTTCCATTTTACTTTTCTTATGATTGTTTTATGTCTATTTTGTTTTTAAGCTTACATGTTGTTGAAATGTTTGTAAATAAATATTTATGCTGAATATTTTACTGGTGTTTTTGTGTTGTTTTAGACATTTTTTGTTGCTGTTATAGTCAGTTTTGCTTGGTTCAAGTTAATTTGCGCGTTTTATGTCCATTTGTATTTAATATTCATTGATACTGATATTGATTTTCTGATTTTTTTCTATGATGTTTTCTGTGTCTTGTAGAAATTTGTATTAAATGTCTTAGATAATATCAGGACACCCTCTTTGTGTGTTTCTAAACTGAATCATCATCTTCAGTCAAAAATAAATAAATAAATAAAGGCAACTGAATGTTTCACTCCAAATCACATCCACATAGACAAAAAAATATTTTATTTCAGCAAACATGCAGTTTAGATACATTAATTCACATATACTGTACACATTATCACACATTTTTTTAAATTTGGTAATCATCACAAAAGCTTTCAGTACACAAACATAACTCAGCTGATAACAATTTTTGTGATTAATTTGCACTTTGTGGTGTTAAAACTAACAAGATCAGAAGAAATAAGCCTGCTCATATGCAGTGAAGTTTGCAGTGTAGACGGGTTTGTAGATGTAAATCAGGGACGAGGCCTCTTCCTTGGGATTGTCGAACTTGTGTAAACTTTTTCTTCCTTAATAAAACAAAAATGAGCAGAAGAGAACATTACTGTAAAATAATGTCCAGTAGAGGGTTTGGTAAACAGGATGTAACAAGGTTATGTGTAATCATTGAACCAAATTTGCACAGTTAGCCTTCTTTTTCTGGATATGAGATGGCTATAATTATTAAATATGCATTAAGGGGTTGAATAGGGAAAGGGTAAAAATGTAAAATAAGCATAAAACTGTGATTATTTATGGTTAATTAGATCATATTTGTGCAGAACTCTGTTTAAACCCTCTTATGAAGCACATAAAAATGTATCCAGTCAAAATTCTCTACCTTCATTGACAAAAAACTCGGCCAGCAGGGAGGACAACTGAACAGCATGAGCAGAGTGAGGAAAGTTGAGCCCCGTGTYCCACTGGAAACGGTTCACCTCCGGGTGCCACTGCACTCCATAGAAGGGATACTTTTTACCTGAGAGGGCAGAGGGAAACACAACCCGGCGCTATCACACGGCTCTGCGCCACTCGCTCAGGTTCAGCATGCAAATTATACCTTCTAAGGTGGAGACGAAGGGGGCTCCATTTTCAGCAACATTGGTGGACAGCAGAGTGAAGAAACTGCTCAACTTCTCATTTTCCTGAAACGTCTGTAGGAACCACTTTCATTAGAAAAACAGAACTCGTCGTGCCGAGGTTTTATTAGCTCTTTTCTACAGTGTTCATCATAATGTGTAAAATGTATAGAATCAGTTTTAGCTTTAGCACTCTCTGCGGTGTGAATAGCTTAAAATCTGTTAAACTGATTGGATTTTAATGTCAATGTCAATGTCAAATTTATTTGTATAGCACATTGAAACAGCAAAAGCTGACCAAAGTGCTTCACAGTTCAGTCAAGACATCAAAAACAAACAAAAAATAGATGCAAATACAGAAACACAATATATAAAAAGCTCTAAATGAACCTCCAAATCTTAAACATAAGCCAAAGAAAATAAATGGGTCTTCAGCAAAGATTTAAAAGCCTCAACAGTCTCTGCTGACCGAATATTAAGAGGTAAACTGTTCCACAGCTTTGGAGCAGCTGTTGCAAAGATGGAAAGAGAACCTCAGCTTTAGCCTGTTAGCTTTAGGGTTAGCAGCGAGCTAATCCATATATATATATATATATATATG